AGGTCATTAGATTTAGCACTATTCCAGCTGGAGGAGCCTAGCTTCCAAATGGCCCAACAATAGGAGTCACTGTTGCTGTTGAAGTCACCCAAATCCAAGAAGAACACTAGATACATCTCAATGAGCATCAAAGTTCTGGGAAGATAGAGGTGAAGTGAGCTCCAGCAGGACTGTTACATTGGCAATGAAGATGAGGGTGACAGTGGTGCAAGCTAACCAATCATCTTTTCATTGGTTTCTGCCATCAGTGAGGAAACCTCCACTTTAAGGTCTGGACCAGGCAAACAATTTGATAAGACATACACCACTGTAGTGAGCAAGTAAGCTCCGAATTAAGAAACTTCAAGAGATTCCTAGAAGGGACCAAGCACAGGACTCATTTAAGGTGATCATAAACCAGCACAAATTAGAGCAGATTAGTACTCAAGTACCGTTGCCAGGAGACTGGGCCCTCTACAGTGAGGAAAAAGATTGGCTGAAGGAAAGGGCCACTCCTCTGTCGAGATACAAGGAGGAAGTCTGGTGTTTCCTGGACAGGCCTGCTAAAGCAAAACAGAACCTGGTGAAGGCTCAAGCAGACCTGAAGGCACCCATGGCCACTAATCAATAGACAATGGCAACACTGGAAACACTTGCTGATGGGGTTAAGGTGAGCAGAGTGGAGCCTCGACCACTTTCTGGTGTGAGTGTATATTTTGTGTATTTTAATCTATTATAATTTATATTGCATATTTAGTTTTTTATTTAGAGTGCCCTCAGCATTCCTCTCTCATGAGCACACATTGAAACTAGGGCCTAACGGTATTAAAGTACTTTTTGAAGTTTATTTCTTTTTGGTTTATTATTTGTTAGTTTGGGTTGTTCTTTAATGTTTTAATTTCAGAGCACCCTTATGTCTCTGCGTTCGTAAACAAATATGGAAGACGTGAGGCCTAATGAAGGATTTGTTAAATGTAAATTTACTCCTTTTAGTAATGATACCCTCGCTTTTTCACACATGTGAGTCTCTGTGGAAGAGAGAGAGAGGGAATTAAAATGGTTTTGTTTTGCAACCTGTAAGTTTTTGAATGTATTCTTCGTTTATATGTACATAACAATAATGCTCCTTTTTATCGCATGCTGGAGCAGGAAATGGCCAGATTTTAGTTTATTATTGTATTTTCTCGTTAAGTGATTTTTATGTAAAAAAGTTTTTTGTATGTTCAAGTTTGCAGTTTGCAGTTTATTCTTGTAATACGTTTTATTTTACTGTATGTTTTTCATTTTTGTGTTCGAAATTAAAGGTTGTTTTTTTTTGGACTTCCTATCTCAGAGTGGGCAGCTTTAAATCATCGTTAAGGTTAAAATTAATGAGATCTGTGTCAATGTGTTTTCTTTTTATACTTTGTTTTGCCTTTCATTTTGTTTCAGTTTCGTAATCAGTATTTTTTTGGTGTGTTAGTTATGTCAATGTTAAAGTGGACAGTATATCTCTGCAGTTTGATTTATTTATTTTTCCTGTTTAGTTTTATTTCATGTGATTGTATGTACTTGTGCATTGCTTTATCAGTGTGAAAGGGTTATATATGTTCATTGATAAAGGGATAATTTCATATGTATTTATGTAAATAGAGATTTCTACTGAACTGAGATATATGTATAATGTATTTGTTTGTTAATCTAAAGGCTAACAGGGAGAGTTTTAATTGTGCAGAAGTTAGGTTGTTAAAAATGGTTTTAAGCTTTACTTAAAGTTTTTCTTATATGTGTATTGATAATTCCAGTTTTGATGTTGGTATTAAGTTTGAATTAGTGTTACAGGTTTTTTCGTTCTTGTATTGAAGTTGTTTGTAGTTCACTGTTAAAGAATTTGTGACGTATGTGTGGCATGTACGTATTTTTGGGAATTAAATGTGCTCATTGACCATGCCCAGAGTTTAAAGGTTATTGGTGTTAAAGCTGAATTTAATTGTCAGCTTGGGGACAAGCCTTAAACACAGAAGGGAAAAGTGTAATGTATAGGTATATCATGTGTTTTTCTACATAGTTTTAGTTATGTAAGGCCCCCAGTAGCACTTACAACGCTAGAAACCGGGTTTCGATACCCATCGTTTGTAGAGCACAGATAGCCCATTGTGTAGCTTTGTGCATAACTGCAAAAAAAATTAGTTATGTAGGAATTTTGAAACATATTTTGATCATTTAGTTTCATGCTGTAATGGCGACAATATTGTTACGACAGCGGAAGTCACGCAACGCTGAGAGCATGCGCGCTGGAGTTTCTCGAAGGATCATGAATTTTCCTGGGAACTCTAGTTTGTTCCAGGCGCCCTCTTTTTTAGTATATAAACCCGGCAAATAAAGCCAGCGAAAAAGATAAAATTGCAGAGATAGATAGATATATAGACAGATAATTGAGTCAAGCGAGCGGTAGTGACGGTAATATAAAGTGCGTGTTTTGTTATCGAGATTGCAAACGT